TGAGTAAGTTATAAAAGCTATTAGGTAGCATAAAAATAGTTTAGACAAATATTTCTGTAGGTGGATGGATTTGAGTAGATCTGTTTCAGTGTTCCTGCTCTGTTATGTTATTGTATAGTATTAGCAGCAGAGACTATGTGATGACAGGGTTTACTGTTTTGATGAGGATTCTTGCTAATACTTCAGAGATGATGAAGCTGCCACCATGAACAAGTCAATGCAGGAGTATACACTATACCTTGTGGAGGCTGTGACAGGATATATGTAGGCAAAACAGCAAGAAACCTCGAAACACACCTCAATGAGCATATTAATGTATGTAGGAATAACTTGAACAACGCCTGTGTACAACACTGGAATTTCACCAATCACCTCATTAAATTCAACGACACCCGACTAGTGATCAGAGAGCCTAATTTCCACAGATGTAAATGCCTTGAATCATCATTAATCGCTGTTTCTAACACAATCAAGCACAATAAAGGCAGCTTCATTATCTCTGAAGTATTAGCAAAAATTCTCCTCAAAATGCACTTATAAGTTAAATAATGTAGAACTTAGTCATACAGAGTGCAAAAAGGACTTGGGGGTTATGGTAAGCAGCGACCTTAAACCAAGACAGCAGTGCATACACGTGCGTAATAAGGCAAATAGATTACTGGGATTTATATCAAGAAGTGTAAGCAACAGAAGTCCAGCGGTTATATTACAGTTTTATACATCATTAGTAAGGCCTCACCTAGATTATGCAGCTCAGTTCTGGTCTCCATATTACAGAATGGATATAAATTCGTTAGAAAACATTAAGCATAGCATTAGAAATCTTCTGTATGAAGAAAGATTGAAGTCTCTTAATTTACATATTCTTGTAAGACGAAGAATGAGGACAGACAGTCATACAAAAACTGTCAATAGCTTCATATATATAAGCTTACTTACATCTATTATTATTATTGTATTATTATTATTAATCCATTATTATTATTGTTGTTGTTGTTCTTGCATTAAGCCTATCCTAGCCAGCCTACCCACAAGAACTGTTAAACACTAACAACTAAATACTTTTAGTAGTTATAGACTAGGTAGTTAGGAGAGTTGTAAAGTGTTGTAAATAACTACCACCAGGAAAATCTGTGTAGTCTGCAGAAAGGGTAACAGACGAAGTCATGCCTGGATTGCATGCAATCTCTGTGGTAAATGGTCCCATGGGTCATGCAGGAACTTTAAACCAGCGACCACTTTTGATATAAAATCAGACAAATGTTTTTGGGTCTGCCCAAACTAGATACACTTGTATGAGGAAATTACATCCATATTAAAAGACAAGAACACCAATAAAATATCCTTCTTAAAAGACATGTCAGCCTGGTATGACAGCTGGGGGAAAAAGAAAGGGTGGGTTGGATGAGGCTGTCTTGGAAGACAGTGCTCCAGAGGGTGCTAGTGTTGTCCTGGAGGACAATGCACCGAAAGGAGATAGTGGCCCTGGTGATGAAACAGGTAAAGACAATGTGATTGAATTTACAGAGATACAAAATAGTGATACTGCTGGAAATGGAACAAAAGGGGATGATGCCTCAGGGAATAGTGTTGACACATCATCAGTGAAAACTGATGTCCATACAGGGGTGGTAGGTAGAGGGATAACAGAAAAAAATGCACCAGCAGCGAACGCAGCCACAAAAAATCCTAGCAAACAAAATTTCAATCTAAGCAAATTCTATGTCTCGGGTATCTCCAGGCATGGTATATATGGTAAAGCAGGTGGGACATGCACCTTTGACCATCCCAAAAAATGCCACACCCACATGACAACAGGAGGGTGCAACTCCCCTTCCTGTAATTTATTTCACCCCAAAATGTGTCACTCGTCACTCCATGAAAGAAAATGCTACAACGTATACTGCCAGGCACATCATCTAAAGGAGACAAGCAGACACAGACCAGCCAGACTATGGGAAACAAAAGAGGGGAGCCATAGCCCTCTCCAGAGGAGGTTTTTAGTGCCAGGAAGGAAAAAAGACTGGTAAGAAATGACAGAAATCTTACACCAACTGAAAACACTTCTGGAGCAGAGGCACAGTCATTGGCCTCCAATCCAGAACAACAGATATTAAAGCCAGCAAATAAAACCCTCCTAAATACCATCAATATAACGACATTTGTCTTTGCAAACATGCAGGGTCTAAAGCCCTCAACAAACAACAAAATTCCTTAAATCAAGGGACTGCTCACGGAGTCAAATGCAATGTTTGCAGCTTTCACAGAGACCCACATAAAGGATTATTTTAACAACGAAATATGGATCCCAGGTTATAACCTATTCAGATGCGACAGACCAAACAGGCAACAAGAGAGGGTTGGCCTGTACGTCACAGAGTCGCTCATTTGCTCAGAATTACTAAACACCTCAAATGACGTAGTTGAAGTTTTGGCAGTAAAGACTGAAAACCAAAACCTTGTCACTGTGGTTGTATACAAGCCTCTGGATGCAACTTCCCAGCAATTCCAGGAACAGATTTTGAAAATTGACCACTGTCTGGAAAATCTCCCAACTCCTGCCCCAAACATCTTGCTACTGGGAGATTTCGACTTGAGACACCTAAATTGGAGGAGTGTAGCAAATAATATTTTAGCAGAGATCAACCCAGAGGCAGCTCAGATGAAAATTCACACACACGAGTTATTAAATCTCTGCAGCAAATTCACCTTAAACCAGCAAATATTTGAGCCTACAAGACTAGAAAATACGCTGGACATCATCTTCACTAACAACGACGATCTGATACGTAATATAACCGTATCAAAGACAATACACTCAGATCACAACATAAGAGAGGTACAGACATGTATGCACATGGCTCCTGACCAGCAAAATGTGATTAGTCATGAAGGTGTCTTCACAAAATTCAACTTTAGTAATAAAAACATACAATGGGAATAAGTCAACCATGTCCTAAATGAAACAAGCTGGGAAGATATCCTAAACAACATGGATCCGTACCTTAGCCTAGAAAAAATTAACTCTGTGGTTCTTGGGGTCTGCTCAAGGCACATTCCATTAAGAAAAAGAAAAGAGAAGATGCAAACTAGAAAGAGAGAGATGCCTCCCTATACAGACGAAAGTGAAGAATCACAGAGCTGCTGAGAGGGGCCAATATATCTGATATATGAGTGTGAGATAATCAGTCCCTCAGCTGAGGGACTGATTACCTCACACTCCTCCTCATCAACCACCATTTATTCTCTGTATTGCACTGAAGAAGCCACTGGCTGGCGAAACGTTTCCTCAGTATTATTATTATTTATTATTATCAAGGAAAGAGTTAAACCGACAAGGATCATACAGGCGTTTCCTCAGTAAAGCTTCCCAAATGTCGCCCAAATGTCTCAGTCTCCAACTCAGTGAAGGTGATCAGGGAAGTACCGCCCACGAGACAGCCAAGAATGTTATCATTTTTCCCACACCCTAGGTTAGAGACTCCCAGGGGCCCTCATCCTTCCAAGCTCACCACTCACCTACGGGCCCCACGGGTACAGCCTGATGAGTAGGTCTTCGTGCCTTCTATAATAGTGCACAAGAGCACACACAGCCATATAGAAAACGTTAAGTTAGGTGGAACTACGTTTGGTTAGGCTAAGTTAGGTGGAATTAGATTAGGTTAAGTTAGGTGGAATTAGATTAGGTGAAGTTAGGTAGAACTATATCTGATTAGGTAGAACTAGGTTTGATTAGGTAGAACTAGGTTTGAGCAGGTAGAACTAGGTTTGGTTAGGTTAGCTTGCCTAGAATAGAGGTGTGTTACTATGGTTGACGACCTGATTAGCTAATACTCCAATCAGAACATTAGATCCTATCTAGGACCCTGGCATTCCATCCCTAGATAACATAGACGTCCTTTATATAGACAAGGGTAGTTTAACTTGCCATGTGTAGTTAGTGTCGTCGGTTCCTTAACATACCTTAACTATATATACGCATACTAGTATGAAAATGATAATAATAATAATAGTAATAATAATAATAATAATAATAATAATAATAATAATAATAATAATAATAATAATAATAATAATAATAATAGCACAATTGTCCTCAAAGATTTGTTAAGTTATACCATGAATTAAGGAAAGATCCTGGACTTCACCTTACGAAAGCAGACAAAACAAACGCGATAGTAATTATGGACAAGGTAGATTATAGTGGAAAAATGAACATGTTATTAGAAGACGGAGGAACTTACGTGCATCTTAAGTTTGGTAAGATTAAGTTAGATAGAACTAACTTTGGTTAGGCTAGGTAAGGCTATATTACATCGACCTGTAATACCTGCAGCATACTGAAGGAAAAAATAATGTAAAAGGCAGCAACACGTCTGGCAATGCGGCGGCTGAGTGTGATAAAGAAACGTCCAAAAATGTAAGTTACATTGGTGGCGGTGGTAGCGGCGGTGGCGTTGAGAAAGAGAGAGAGAGAGAGAGAGAGAGAGAGAGAGAGAGAGAGAGAGAGAGAGAGAGAGAGAGAGAGAGAGAGAGAGAGACAGACAGACAGACAGACAGACAGACAGAGATAAACAGACGACAAACAGAGCCAGAGGAAAGTTTTTTCCAAGTTGATAAAGCGAAAAGCTGTTATAATGAAGGTTTATGTGCTTTCTTGTTTTTGTCATCTACTTGACAGCTCGTTGTCTCTTACAGCAACCAGAGTGAATGATGCGTACAGGAGAGGAGAAAGACTGGAGGAGAGAAGAGGAGAGGGAAAAGACTGGAGAAGAGAGGGGGGAAGACTGAAGAAGAGAAGAGGGGGAAGACTGGAGGAGGAATGGAAAGACTGGATAAAGGGAAGGGAAGAGCCAGTGATGAAGTTCAATTGAGAGGAACAAATTGTGAGGGTAAAGTCTACAGTCAACTCTGAGTAGGTGAGGGTGGGGAGGGAGGGGAGGATAGTGGGTGGTGGTGGAGGTGGAGGAGGAGGTAAGAAAGGAAGGTGGAGAAGGGGAATGGAGTGAGGGAGGTGAAGCGGAGTGTGGCACCTCCTCCTCCTCCTCAGAATCTCCCGCAGTGCCAACCAGTCCAGGGTGCCACATGCCAGCTGCTCCCCCTGGTGAACGCCAGGCATCTGATGATGTGGATCCTTCCCTCGCTCCTCCACCACCAGTGCCATCTCCAACACCAGAGCCCCCTCCTCCACCAGTACCCTCTCCACCACCAGTGTCATCACCCCCATCACCAGGATATCCAGCACCTTCACCATCATCAGCAAGAACATTCAGTGAACACATACACAACAACAGTGAAGCTCAGACGCTGTCATTAACCTTCGTAGACTAGTAAGAGGTGTTAAATTGCAACCGTGAAACGTACACTGACGATGCTGCGACCGCCGCTCTGTACCATAAAAACGGTTCCTTGCGTGCGTAGGCGGTCGTGAGAATAGTGCAGATACAAGACTGAGGAGCAGAGATGATGTCAGGAGTGTGAGTATACAAGTGTGTTCCCTAACAAAGATTCTCCTCGGGTGTACAATGAACAATAATGTGGTGACCGGTGTTTTGGAGAGTGACTCTGCTTGTGTGACGACGAAGTTGTTGTGTTTTAGTGGCGAGGGTGGCAGAGTATTGCCACTGTTTGTGTACAGAGTTCCGTGGGAGAGCTAGCGTGTGTGTTGTGTTCTGGGAAGGTGGTGGGTGCATTGCTCCAGCGGTGTCAACACCACCAACACAACTCACCATACTACGAATACACCTCTACAATACTTTTGACACACGTCCCCAACACTACCAACACACGTCTTCAACATTACCAAGACACGTCACCAATATTACCAACACATCTCACCAAAAACGTTACTAACACCATCAACACGCCCCACCAACACCATTAATACACTTCGCCAAAACCACCAACGACACATGCCAACAACAAATGCCACATGCACCACCAGCAATCGTCAACAACATTTAACATCACTATCAAACCAAGCACTGACGGGGCGTCTACCAAACCAAGCCACAACCAACCATAAAGACACCTCATCAACAAACGTCACCAGCACCACAATAAAACGTCAGCTGCTCCAACTTCCAGCAGCAGCAGCAGCACCAGCAGCACACGAAGTACTAAAGAGAGGTGTACCAAAGAGTGCCTAAACAAGTCCCATCGAGTGTCACAATGTGGATCACCTATGTCATGACTTGGTTCCTCTACATCACCAAAATCTTCAACTCCATGTGTCAAGCAGGTACGTCCTTCAGTTGAGTACCACCACTCTGAATATTCATACAGGGAAGTGGCCACAAAGTCCTTTATTGATTAACCTTTTTATCAAAATAAGTAAGTTTATTTAGGAACAGGTACACATAAGTACAATTATCATACCTTGTAACATATGTGTAAATTACATAGGATAATCCCAAAAAATCAAAGTGACTTATTGCCAAATGGCGATAGGTACGATAACTCAGGTTTCTGTATATGATAGCTGAACTATATAGTTTTAAGGTTACCCAAAGTTTGCAGCCTCAATGTTTGCAGTGTTAGTGGTTTGCTGCGAGTGTTTGTGGTTTAGTGCGAGTGTTCGTGGTTTACTGCAGGTGTTCGTGGTTTACTGCGAGTGTTCGTGATTTACTGCGAGTGTTCGTGGTTTGCTGCGGGTATTCGTGGTTTGCTGCGGGTGTTCGTGGTTTACTGCGGGTGTTCGTGGCTTCATTGATAGCCTCCTCAGCTCACACACTAAGGGAACGGGATCGATTTCCGGCAATGGGTGAAACGTTGGACATGCATCCTTACACCTGCTGCCTCTGTTCACCTAGCAGCAAGTACCTGGGTGTTAGCCGACTGCTGAGAGTCGCATCCTAGGGTAGAAGATTAAAGGACCACAATGGAAATAAGATAGGCAGTCCCCGATAACGCACTAGCTTAACCGTGTTATTACCCTGGATGGCTAACCCTGTCCAGGGTTAAAAATACGAACAAATCTTATCACATCCAGTGGCCCATCATACAACTGATACTTCGGTTCATTCAGAGCTTAGGCTAACATATAAGATTAATTTTTGGAAAAGAGTTGAAGATTCTGCTGTAATTCCTCTTATGTATGAAGGTAAAGTATTGAAAAGTCTTGGTCGCTTAACACTTACTGAACATAGTGTACTCATTAAACTTCTGCTCTTCATCGGAGGTATTTGCACCGTCAAGTCTCCTGCTCTCCTTGGGAGTAATTTTGGTGTACAGATTTAAGAAGCAATCCCTCCGGGTATAAATTATGCTGTATATTTATTGGAAACAAATGGTATAAAATACCAACAATGTGAAAATAAACACAAATACAATATAATGCGATCCTTTATTGACTATGTTTCGACTTGATAAAGTCCACTGTGTGGGCGAAACGCAGTCAATGAAAGATCGCATAATACTGCATTTGTTTATATTTTTCCAAAGTATCTTCCTTGCCTACATTCACAAGTGTACAATTTGAGGGACTCCAGGCCTTCCCAATAATTTAGATGCGTTACTGAATTTACAGGAGCGGTTAAGGTTGTCTGTACGATTTTCAGTCTTGAGATTTCTCCTGTCTTCAAAGCTCCTGGTTGGTGTGCAGCAGCATTGCGATCTAGAACAAGTTACTTGAAGAGAATTATCACTGGCTTGTCATCTCTTGTTATCAACTGTTCATCCCAACTGCCTCCTGGGATTGCTCTCTGCTGCTAGAGCACTAAACTCTTTCTGCTGTGTGGGAGTTACTCCTTGTGTGTACTGGTGATTGCCGATGTCTGAGTCAGGATGGTCATGGGTATCATACTCTCTGCTAGTTCAGAAAGGCTAGGAAGGAAAGTCTCTTTCTTCATTAGTCGGGGCGAAACGTCGCCACAAGCTTCCCTTTTCTACGTGCAGGTTACCTGTGTATTGTTTCTACTGCTATTCTACTCTACTTATTTGTGTGTGGTGACTCCAGCCCTCGCTGTTACTGTGTGGTGACTCCCGCCCTCGCTGTTACTGTGTGGTGACTCCCGCCCTCACTGTTACTGTGTGGTGACTCTCTCCCTCGCTGTTACTGTGTGGTGAGTCCCGCCCTCGCTGTTACTGTGTAGTGACTTCCGCCCTCGCTGTTACTGTGTGGTGACTCTCTCCCTCGCTGTTACTGTGTGGTGAGTCCCGCCCTCGCTGTTACTGTGTGGTGACTCCCGCCCTCGCTGTTACTGTGTGGTGACTCCCGCCCTCACTGTTACTGTGTGGTGACTCTCTCCCTCGCTGTTACTGTGTGGTGAGTCCCGCCCTCGCTGTTACTGTGTAGTGACTTCCGCCCTCGCTGTTACTGTGTGGTGACTCCCTCGCTGTTACTGTGTGGTGACTCGCCCTCGCTGTTACTGTGTGGTTACTTCCGCCCTCGCTGTTACTGTGTGGTGACTCCCGCACTCGCTGTTACTGTGTGGTGACTCCCGCCCTCACTGTTACTCTGTGGTGACTCTCTCCCTCGCTGTTACTGTGTGGTGACTCCCGCCCTCGCTGTTACTGTGTGGTGACTCGCCCTCGCTGTTACTGTGTGGCGACTTCCGCCCTCGCTGTTACTGTGTGGTGACTCCCGCACTCGCTGTTACTGTGTGGTGACTCCCGCCCTCGCTGTTACTGTGTGGTGACTCCCGCCCTCGCTGTTACTGTGTAGTGACTTCCGCCCTTGTTGTTACTGTGTGGTGACTCCTGCCCTCGCTGTTACTGTGTGGTGACTCCCGCCCTCGCTGTTACTGTGTGGTGACTCCTGCCCTCGCTGTTACTGTGTGGTGACTTCTGCCCTCGCTGTTACTGTGTGGTGACTCCCGCCCTCGCTGTTACTGTGTGGTGACTCCTGCCCTCGCTGTTACTGTGTGGTGACTCCCGCCCTCGCTGTTACTGTGTGGTGACTCTCTCCCTCACTGTTACTGTGTGGTGACTCCCGCCCTCGCTGTTACTGTGTGGTGACTCCCGCCCTCGCTGTTACTGTGTGGTGACTCTCCCTCGCTGTTACTGTGTGGTGACACCGGCCCTCGCTATTACTGTGTGGTGGCTCCCGCCCTCGCTGTTACTGTGTGGTGACTTTCGCCCTCTCTGTTACTGTGTGGTGACTCGACCTCGCTGTTACTGTGTGGTGACTCCCGCCCTCGCTGTTACTATGTGGTGACTCCCGTCCTCGCTGTTACTGTGTGGTGACTCCCGCCCTCGCTGTTACTGTGTGGTGACACCGGCCCTCGCTATTACTGTGTGGTGGCTCCCGCCCTCGCTGTTACTGTGTGGTGACTTTCGCCCTCTCTGTTACTGTGTGGTGACTCGACCTCGCTGTTACTGTGTGGTGACTCCCGCACTCGCTGTTACTGTGTGGTGACTCCCGCCCTCACTGTTACTCTGTGGTGACTCTCTCCCTCGCTGTTACTGTGTGGTGACTCCCGCCCTCGCTGTTACTGTGTGGTGACTCGCCCTCGCTGTTACTGTGTGGTGACTTCTGCCCTCGCTTTTACTGTGTGGTGACTCCCGCCCTCGCTGTTACTGTGTAGTGACTTCCGCCCTTGCTGTTACTGTGTGGTGACTCCCGCCCTCGCTGTTACTGTGTAGTGACTTCCGCCCTTGCTGTTACTGTGTGGTGACTCCCGCCCTCGCTGTTACTGTGTGGTGACTCCCGCCCTCGCTGTTACTGTGTGGTGACTCCCGCCCTCGCTGTTACTGTGTGGTGACTCTCTCCCTCGCTGTTACTGTGAGGTGACACCTGCCCTCGCTGTTACTGTGTGGTGACTCCCGCCCTCTCTGTAGTATTCTGTGTGGTGACTCGCCCTCGCTGTTACTGTGTGGTGACTCGCCCTCGCTGTTACTGTGTGGTGACTACCGCCCTCGCTGTTACTGTGTGGTGACTCCCGCCCTCGCTGTTACTGTGTGGTGACTCCTGCCCTTGCTGTTACTGTGTGGTAAGTAAGTAAGTAAATTCAGGTATACACAATACAGTTACATAGAATTATCATACATAGCAGCATATGTGTAGAGAACCTAGGATAACCCAAAAAAGTCAGACAGAGTGACTTATTTCCATTGGGGTCCTTTTACCTTATTATTATAATATAAAGGTTGTAATATTTTCTTATTATTCTATAATGAAGATAACATCTTATTATCATACTAAAAAGACTATCTACTACACGAGGGTCATTAAGACTATCTACAATACGAGGGTCATTAAGACTATCTACTACCCGAGGGTCATTACGACTATCTACAATACGAGGGTCATTACTAGGGATAAGGTAAAATTTACACGTATTTTAGCTAAAAAAAAGAAAATCATTCCCCTCCCTTTCTGTTGCTTCGTTCATCAGACACTTTTGGCAGTCTTCTTGAACTGGTTCAAGCTATGATGGCCTAGACATTTGTGGGTAGTCTGTTTCCATTCCTTTATTGCTGTACAATAAAAGGTTTTGAAAGCCTGGCCACTGACTGTGGTACTACAAAGTTGTGCTCTCTCCTCCTAGTACTATGATTGCTTTGGTTCCCAACCTTGACAAAATTGACAGCAAGATATTCTGGACATTGTTCGTGAGCAATTTTATAAACATGATTTAGCTTCAGTTGTTTTACTCTGTCTTCAACATTCAGCATATCCAACTGCTGTAATTCATCCTGGCCTACATGTTCTCTTGGTCCCAGCCCCAGGATGAATCTTACGATTTTGTTCTGGGTGATTTGCAGTCTATCTTTCAGTTTTTTTGTCAAGGCAGAGTACCAAGAAGAGCAAGCGACTCTCGCCCTCGCTGTTACTGTGTGGTGACTCCTGCCCTCGCTGTTACTCTGTGGTGACGACTCTCTCCCTCGCTGTTACTGTTTGGTGACTCTCGCCCTCGCTGTTACTGTGTGGTGACTCTCGCCCTTGCTTTTACTCTGTGGTGACTCCGGCCCTTGCTGTTACTGTGTGGTGACTCCCGCCCTCGCTGTTACTGTGTGGTGACTCCCGCCCTCGCTGTTACTGTGTGGTGACTCCCGCCCTCGCTGTTACTGGGTTATCCCAGCTGTAATTCCACATAATTTACCGCATAAAACCACTGTAAAAAAATTAAGTGTGAGTCTTAAATAAACACTTAATAATAGTTCTTCCGGCACTGTGTTGACACGTTGACACTGTCCCGGCACTGTGATGACACTGTCCCGGCACTGTGTTGACACTGTCCCGGCACTGTGTTGACACTGTCCCGGCGCTGTGTTGAAACTGTCTCGGCACTGTGTTGA